TTTTTTTTTATTAGAAAATACGCTCGGCTTACTAGCTTCTTCGGATTCCACGGCTTTCCGTTGGTCTTGGAGGGCGCCTGCTGCATTTGTAGTGCACCCATTCGTAACGCAAAATAGCGTTGGTGGTTCGATTACTAGATGAACGCACAAATATCACAAAGTTATCCTTCATGTATTCATTTGAGGTCTTCTCAAATGCCATGAAGGATGAAAACGATGCACCCGCAAATTTCTCAACGAAAGCCATTTCCGAAGCCATAGCAGACGAAGTTCAAAGCCGAATGTGCGCCAACAATTTTCAAAAGAGATCGATTAAAACAAATCGCAAAAAATGACGGCAGATGAGGGGGATTTTCAGTCTGAGCATATATGCTAAGAAGTGCAACATTTTGACGTTGAAGTTTCTATTTCCGCCATAGGGGTTTTGCAGAAAATTGCATTGTGCTTCGAGCCGATGGCGCTGGTCGCAGTTACTCCATGCTGGGATTGGATGCGATGGGTTAGTTACGGCAGAATGCAAGCTTGCATACTGTTCTTTATGAGTTTCAGTGGCCACCAGTTAGGTAAACCTTGGATATATGTTTCTTCCCCACAAAAAAAGAGGTTCTGGTGTACTTATTTTACTTATTCAACATAACCTTGAAGCCCATAGTGAAGCGACTAGCGGGAAATGGAATATGTCGGTGACAGCTATGTGGGTGAATATAAAAACGAAAGGTTGGATAGTCTTTCATGTACTTCTGAGCAGCCATCTTACAGGATGGAAGGGCAAGGCACCTACACATTATCTACTGGAACCCGCTACGTTGGGGGCATGAAAGATGGCATGTTTCATGGCGAGGGGACATTGTATTATACCGGTGGTAGCAAATTTGTTGCAAACTGGGTGAACGGACATCCGGAAAACGTAAAAATAACATTCAAACAAACTGATTTTTTATACAGGGGAAAATAATATTTTCCGACGGTCTAGAATATGTTGAAGGATCTCACTATTGCGACGAATATGATAGGCGATTTTACACTGAGATATGCAACGGCCTCAAACCAGCTGGTGAGTGCCTCTAGGTTTTGATACGAAAAACCATGTGTCGTTACTGAACAATTTTCTCTGTATGGAATCAGAATCAAGAAGCTCGTGAGGTTGTTGAGGATGTTGAATCCAGGCTACACCAAGTAAAAACGATCTTGATCAAGATCGAGAAAGAGGCTGCGTTGTACTGACTATCGGTTTGGCTAACAATGTCAATCCTGACCGCTCGTATTTTCGTACCATTAAGACTACCACGATTGTGAACTCTGAGTGATTGTAGGTTTGACTTCCTGTCCAACTGCCTGTGAATTTGGAGCAAGTGAACGCGACTTGTGCTATCGGTGATATCAGGGGGGTTTCTTCTTTACGTTATGACTGAGCTAAAGGTGAATTGGGTTGGGCAAGTTATTTTTAGTGAATGATCGTTGCCGATAGCCAGTCTCATGTAAAAATCACATGTCCGGGTGGTGTTGCCCATGGAGACAACTGTCTCAAGTAAGCGATCTCAGCACGACTTGATACTGCTTCCTTGTTTGCCGTGTAGACGAAGGCCTGAATGCTCAGAGCTTAATGACAGTCATGACCATTTTAAATAAGCCTCTTAACCGCAGGAATAGATCAGTCTTGAAGGCTGTGGCACAGGACCCAACTTTCTCAGAAGCCATTCCCCCAGGGCAAATCTCATTGTGTAATGAACGTCAGCCTATAGTGATAACAAAAATTGAGGTTTCAAATAGGTTGCTCAGCAGGTGTATACTGATGTTTCTCTTGCACAATACATTGTTTGCTGTGAATGTACATTAACGTCCGTGCAGATAGTCCACCACAATTTCAAATCGTCAGCAAATAGCAGTGTTCGAAAACTTACCGCTTAAGCGTTCATTGATATAAAGCATGAGAATATCGATCCACGGAAAGATGGCAAACATATTTCAATGGTAAATTTGTGAGAGACAGAACTCTTCGGCAAACGATGGTTTGGTATATGCCATAGATGGCCTAACCAGCGTAGTCTTTGATGCTGGGCACATTCTTCATTGGGCATCTCCATTGCACAACCAAAAATTTGAATTTGTTGAAATCAGCTGTGGTTATACTTTAGCAGTTCCATATCGTACGGTCCCTAAGCAAACTGCGACCGCTGGTCAATTTTTCCAAAATGTAACCGTGTTATTCTGGTGGACAGAGGGGACTTAGTTTTGTCAGGATCCGTGCAGTTTTTAATAAGCCTGCCCAAGTTAATTGGTTAGTGCACCACCTGAAAAACCACCCCATAGGAAACTAACAAGGATCCAACGACTTGAGGTTCTCCTTGTATGGCTTCAAGTATTGCGGTATTGTGACATATCCCGGCAGTTTGGTTGGAAGCGTTAAGGTAGTAGAAGCGCTATTATAAAAACAAACGCTTTTATCTCGTTGCAGTTGCCGTTAATCGTTCATGTTTTCCATGAGGCTGACCTTCTGTACCAAGCTGGTTGTTGGATATGCTTTACAGGTTAAAAATACCTTAGAGGCTTAGATATGAGTAATTTAACGGCGGTTTTGTGGTCATCTCTGTTCTTGGTAACTATATTGCTCTCAAAGAAGTCTGAGCTTCTTGAAAATGTCTTGACCTTAATGCTCCCTCCGGGCCACGTAGTGATTGACCAGAAAATGTTGGTTCATTGAATAGCTTTACAAGTGTAGCTCACAGATAATTGTGAAAAACAGACAACTTTCAATTAGTGAATGTCTGAAACAGCTTCTGAGTTAGTTGGAAAGGTAGAAGAGGGTGCTGGACAAGAGGGTTTGCAAGGTTTAGAAGCTTTTGTTTTTTTAACTGAAGACGACTTGGTTCCCCATTTCTAATAATTGCTTTCTATCATGTTCGTGAATTTGTCATTCGGCGCGTTGAGCAGTGATATGTTTTCCGGATCAGACTTTAGTTACTGGAACTGTTAGATGGATATGAAAACCTTTGTTATGCTAGAATTTCAAATCGGATGTTAGGGGTCCATTGTTGTTGGTTCATAACCTTGTCTTTGTTGAATACACAGGTCGTAAAATATTTTAGAGACACTTTGGCCGTTTTCCTCGAGCGTGTTGCAGAAAAATCCACGAGATTTAACATAAAGCCTTGTGATTCAGTCAAATGGCACCAGTATTGTTTAAATACGCCAGATGGTGTTCTTGAAATCCTTTCCACCTAGATATATCGGCCAGTCAAAACCTAGAGAATACGCTGGTTACGTCATGAAATTTGTATGCAGTAAGACCATTTACCTCGTGGGACTCTCGTTGTCTAGTCTCTTGTATCAGGTGGAAGCAAGAACGTCATGCGAAAACCATTGTGGTATTAACCTGGTATCCGTCGCATCTAAGGGGCTCTCTAGCATTATTTTTGCGCAGATTGATGGATTATCGGCAGAGACAAATTCGTGAGAATTAAGTTGAGTTGATAGTATGTTTACCTTGAGACAAATTCGTGAACAGCGTCACCCCTTGAGACGTCCCCCGTTGATCGATTTTCTCGATTTGAAAACTGCTTTTGATCCTGTCGATTGTCAGCAAATTTGAAAGTGTCTGGCAATCAAAGACACCCCTTCCAAATTTTTCTCCCTTATGGGGGCACTGTATGCGAGCTCCTGTGAGCGCGTGCGAGTATACGGGAAGCTTTTCCCTGAGTTCACCACACCCAGTGGTGTAAGACAAGCCTGCCATCTTTCCCCCTTCCTCTTCAACTTTGTTATTGATATGCTGCTTGAAACTGCTCTGCCTGCCTCTGAAACCTCGGGGGTTGAAATGCTACCGGGACGTTCCTTCACAGACACGGACGATAATGCTCTCCATGGTTCAGATCCCTCTTAAAAGCAAACCATTTTGAATAACCTTAATAGCTCTGGTGCACGGTTCGGCATGCACTTCACACCTACAAAGTGTAAAGTACTGCTACAAGACTGGGTGGGATCAACCCCACACCTCATGCTTGCGGATGAGCCAATCGACGTGGTAGAAAAAATTGTTTACATGGGCAGCTGTATAAGTCTCGGTTGACTGGCTGGAGATGAGACTATTTATCGAATAGGAAAGACCAGAGCAGCTTTTGCCAACCCCCGACACCCATGGCACCGACGTGACGTGAGTTTGCCCATCAAGGGAAGAGTTAACACTGCGGTGGTGCGATCCATACTGCTTTATGGATAAGAGGCTTGGCCCCTACGAGCAGATGACATAAGAAAGATGTCGGTGTTTGATCATCGGTGTCTCCGAGGCTTTGGTCAGGTTTGGTGGAACATCGCATCAGTAATGCTGAGGTACGTCAAATGATCCCAGGAAAACAGAACTCTCCCGCGATAGATGAACTACTCACGCTTCATAGGCTGCGCTGGTTGGGTCATGTACTCCGCATGCCAGAAGTCTGTCTGCTCGCAGAGCTCTTTTTGCCCAGCCCTGTGCTGAGTGTAAGCGACCAAAAGGTGGACAGTGTATGATCTGGCAACCAAGTACGAAAACACTAAGCAGTAAACTAAGTCGGGTTGTCAACTGCCGCCTCCCCGGATGTTAACCTTGGGACTCAAATCACCAGTGGTTGATATTGGAGGAAATGCTTCAATCGCACAGTCAGTGGCACTCGTGCATCAAAACTATCGCCTTCAATGCGTAGCTACCCAATTTCCGAACAAACCGAGCATGCGGTCGCCTCCAAAGCTTGGTTTTATATCCCATTGCTCCGTTTTTTTGATGATCTAAACTATAACAGCTGGAACCCATGTGCCTATGGCACACGGTTTAAAGCTGATAATTTGAGTTGAATTGCCAGAGGGGCGGTTGGTCAACGACTCTCCGACTAAGCATAAAAAGCCTCGCCGGTCAACCTATCCGCGTTGGCCGTGGCCATGGAGGCCTTAGGTCAAGACAAACCGATGGTCGGTAACCCTGAAACGTATACCTGTGTCACAGTCGGCAGAACTATTGGGCCAAAGTCATCGCTCTTACTACGCAGCTGTTACTTCCTTCTATACCAGACAAACAAGTCTATTTATTGTCAATTCGCAGACTTGGACAGTGTCTGCAACATGTGGGTGCCATTTACTTATTCTTCCCAGTCTTGATGAACAAAGATGTATCACCTCAAACCGCTACACTTTGGCGCATGGTTTGTAAAAAAAACTAAACTGAGCTGACATACTGTCATTGATGAGTACCCATCTTGCAGAGATGGATGATAGTTTACCATTATGCTGGACTAGTGCATGGTGCAAGATGGCTGATAGCCAAATAGTTCAGAACAACCTACCAATGGTGAGAAAGCAAAGACACAAGTACATCTTATGATTCGTAATTATCATGGACAGTAACCAAAAAGGGTACTATATCTGTATGCAAAACGAGGTTTTTCGAATTTTCACAGATATGGTGAAGCATTCGGTTAAACAAAATGTAACTTATTGAGTAAGAAATCTCTGGTCATCATTGACGGAGAAGATTGTTTGTGGGTTGATTTCTTGAATATAGTGTAACGCTTCCTGAGTTAATTCCTTTCCTTGGAATTTGTCCTAACAAAGCATGGGAGAGGTTTGTTTATTTCCAAAGTCTTTGCGGGTAGTTGCAGTTCCCAATCCTGTGCAGAAATCCAGGACGTTCTCACAGACAATGTTTTATCACTGTTCGATTGATTATGTTCGACAGATTTGTAGTCGGTAGTGTGAAGAGATTTGGGATTTTTGTGGAGATTTCGCCCTGTAAGTCAAGCCAAATTATGCTGAAAAGCCGAGGAGCACGGCTGTTTCATCCTTATTGGGAGTCATCAGCAGTGCGCGTCGCACGAAACCCTGAGGAGTCTCGAACCCGTGACCTCCTGGCCGAACGTTTGTGTTCAACCTAGTAGTCAGGAGGTCGCGGGTTCGAGACTCTCATGAGTTTCGTGGGATGCGCACTGCTGATGATTCCCAATAAGGATGAAACAGCTTTACAGTGCTTCTCGGCTTTTTAACATAGACTGGCTTCACTTACGGGACGAAATCTCCACCGATTCGTAGTTC